ATGTGATTTTTATCTTTGGCTATGTCAATATGGTGTATTGCATTTATTGATTTATGGATTTTGAACCATCCCTGTATTCCTGAGTTGAATCCCCCCTTGTCATGATGTATAATCTTCTTGATGATTTGCCTCATTCTGTTTGATAGTATCTTATTGAGAATTTTTGCATCTATGTTGATTAGGGAGATTGACCTATAGTTCTCTTTTTTGGTTGGTTCTTTCTCTGGTTTTTGGTATCAGGGTAATACTTGCCTCCAGGAATGAGTTAGGGATAATTGCTTCCCCTTAAATGTCATCAAAGAGTTTAGGGAGTATTGACATTAAATCTCTACATTTTATGTAGAATTCAGTGATGAATCAATCAGGACCTGGTCTTTTCCTTTGTTGAAAAGTTGCTAGTTACATTTTCAATTTCATTTACTGATATAGGGCTATTGTCTTCTTCATTCAGTCTTGGTAATTCATATGTGTCTAGGAATCTATCCAATTATTCTGCTTTCATCCTATGTGAAGAATGATTTTCAAAGTAGGTGTTGATAATCATGTTACTTTCCATTGGATGGGTAGCGATTTCACCCTTTTCATTCCTTATTTCAGGAATTTCAATTTCTTCTTTCCTTTTTTTGATAAGGTTGGCCAAGTGCTTTTCAACTTTATTTGTTCATTCAAAGAACCAACTGTTAGATTGATTGTTTTTAGGTTTTTTTATTTATTTATTTTTTTTTACAAAACCAGGGATTGAACTCAAGCCAGGCAAGTGCTTATTCTACTGAGCCATCCCCCTGGCCCTGATTGACTCTTTATATTGTTTTCTTAGTCTCAAATGCATTACATTCTTCTCTAATTTTATAATTTCCTCCTTTCTTTGGGCTTTGAGCTTGACTTGCTCTTTTCTTAGATGCTTAAAGGGCAGCATTACATAATTTATTTGCGCTTATTCTGTTTTCCTGATGTGCAAATTCACCACTATAAGTTTCCCTCTAAGGACTGATTTCATTGCATTCCACTGATTCCAATAAATTGTATTTGCATTTTCATTTGATTGTAGATATTATTTCATTTGTTTGGTTTCATTGGTGATTCATTGATTGTTCAGGAGGGTGTTGTGCAATTTCTTTGTCTACTGAGTTTTTGCAGTATCTTTTGTCAGTAATTTCCAACTTCATTGCACTATAGTCAGACAATATGCATGCAATAATTTCACCTCCTTTGCATTTACTTAAGTATATTCTGTGGATTATTGTATAGTCTATTTTAGAGAATGTCCCATGTGCAGCTGTAAAAAAAAATGTATATTCTAATGTCTTGTGGAATACTCCATAATGGCCTACAGTAATTTGTTCAGTTCAGTTTAGTTCTGTTATTTCTTTGCTATTTTGTCCAAATAATCAATTTCTCTGTGAAAATGTGATATTAAGATCCCCCATTACAACTGTGCTTTTACTTATTTGATCTTTTATGTCTATTAATATTTGTCTTACATACTGGTATGCTCCCATATTTGGTGCATATATACTGTGATTGTTATCTCTTCTTCAACTTTTCTCCAAACTAGTATGTAGTGAACTTCTTAATCTCTTTGATTATTCTTGGTTTGAAGTTCACATTGTTTGCAAACAAATAACTACCTCTTCATTTTTGGGGTATCTTGTTGCATGGAGTATTATTTTCCATCCTTTGACTTTCAGTCTATAAATTTTCTTGTGAGTTAAATGTGCTTCCTGTACACAGAATATTGTTGCACTTTGTTTCTTGGTCTACTCTGCAGTTTGTTTCTTTCTTTTTTTTTTTTTTTTGCGATACCAGGGATTAAACTCAGGATGCTGTGCTTGCCAGACAAGCACTTACTCTACTGAGCCATCTCTCCGGGCCCATTTTGTTTCTTTTGACTGGTGAATGGAGGCCATTTACAATAATGGTTCTAACTGATATGTCTTGGCTTATCTTTGTCATGTTATTTTCCTACTGTTGGTTTCCTACTTTTCCCTGTTTAATTATTTTCCCCGCTCTTATTTTCTTTCTGTTGTTTTTCTTGGAATTATGGTCATTTTTATCTTTCTAGTACATCTTTCATACTCTTTGTAGGGTTCATTTGGTAATCATAAATTTCTTCAGTTTTTCTTTGTCATGGAAATACTTTATTTCTCCATTGATTTTGAAAGATAGACTCATAGGGTACATCAGTCTGGGTTGAAGGTTGTTTCTTTTATTTCTTTCTTTCTTTCTTTCTTTTTTTTTTTTTTTTTTTTTTTTTGGAACTAGGGATTGAACTCAGGCCCTTGCACTTGCCAGGGAAGTGCTTATTCTACTGAGCCATCTCCCTGGCCCTGAGCCATCTCTCCAGGCCTGATGTTTTCTTTTGGGACTTGAAATGCTTCACTCCAAGCTCTTTTTTGACTTGGTGGTTTATGTTGAAGAGTTGTCGTGATTCTGGTGGGTTTTCTGTTACAGGTAATCAGTTTCTTTTTTCTAACAGCTTTTAATATTTATTCTTTTGCTAAATTTCTGGGGTCTTGATTATTAAGTTTCCTAGTGTGGATTTATTGTGGTTTTGGCTAATTGGAATTCTATAGACCTCAATTAACTATATATCAGGTTATTTTCCTATGTTTGGGAAATTTTCTGCTATGACTTCTCCAAATACCATGTGTGTGTGTGTGTGTGTGTGTGTGTGTGTGTGTGTGTGTGTCTGTTTTGGGGGTTTAATTCAAGACCTTGCTCCTGCCAGTTAGGCACTTGTGCAGCTGAGCTATACTTCATCCCTGCAAGTTTTCTTTTTCTCTCATTTGTGTTGACTCCTGATTTTTGTTGACATCTATCAATCTTTTTTTTTTCCTTAAAGTACAGGATTTCTCTACACAGATTGGACTCATAGTGGACCTCCTGTTTTCAACCTCACAAACTCTGCAATTACAGGTGTGGGCCACCACTCTCAGGCTCAGTCACCATGGCATATGGTGCTGGGAATTGAACCCTAGTCCCTGTGTCTGCCTAAGTAGGCACTTTAGTCTGCTGAGCTATCTCGGTGGCCCTGACACCTATCAGTCTTATTTTTAAAAGATCTTCCTTTTTATGATCTCTAGCTGCAATCTTTTCTCTTCAGTTTTATTCAAGTAGTTTTTCCAGCTTTCTTTTTCTTTTTTTTTTTTTTACGGGACCGGGGATTGAACTCAGGCCCTTGCGCTTGCCAGGGAAGCACTTATTCTATTGAGCCATCTCCCTGGCCCAGTTCTTCCAGCTTTCAATGGAATGTTGAATTTACTAGATGTCTCTGTTTTGCTGGAAGATAGCTCTGTCACTAGTATCATGGCCTCTCCAGGAAAAGTCTTTTCTTCAGAGATGTCTTCTGTGTATTAGGTTTTCTTTCTTTGTCTCTGTCCTTAGTTTTTTGGAATACATAATGGTAATGTCATCACCTCTGAGCTTTCCAGTGTTGTTACATAAGAGAACAACCGAATGCATCACATGTAACATCCTTGCTACAGCAGTACAATTATCAATAATGATGGCATGGGGGCTGGGGAGATAGCTCAGTAGAATAAGTGCTTGCCTGGCAAACGCAAGCATGAGTTCAATTCCCAGTTTAAAAAAAAAAAAAATATATATATATATATATACACACATATATATGTGTATATATATATATATTAATGATGATGATGATTGCATGAAGCACAACTTACAAATTCAAAAACTGTGGTAACTATTTTGTACTTTACACATAGGAACAAAGACTGTAATTGTATAACATAACCAATCATAAATTGGGAGTTCATATGCAAAGTGTTTTTCCTTGTTTAAATGGATTCACAGGGCCAAGGAGATGGCTCAGTGGAATAAGCGCTTCCCTGGAAAGCACAAGGGCCTGAGTTCAATCCCTGGTTCCACAAAATAAAAAAAGTAGATAAATAAAATTTTTTTAAAAAATCGATTTACACAGATGGGGTGATTGCCAGCCATGTCTCAGACACTTCCCATACTGTCTGGTCATCCTGTGGGGTAGAAGGATGGACCAGACACCTAGGTTCTTCCAGACAGAGGCTCTGATGATTTTGGAGGGGTTGTGGGCAGTGTTTCTTCTGTCCTGTGCAACTCAGCGTGGCTCAGTAAGGCCGACTTGATCTCAATCAAAAAATTTTTTGAGAAATCCCTACATAGTGATTTCCACTGTGGTTATACAAGCTTATAATCCCACCACCACTGAAAAAGTTTAATTTTCCCTGCAGTTGCAGCAAAATTTATTATTTGATTCCCTAGTAATTCCCATTCTTCCTAGGGTGGAATGATATTTTAATTTTGATTTTTTTTTTTTTTTTTTTTTTTTTTTTTTTTTTTTTTTTGTATTTTAGGGAAGGATCTACAGGGAGTGCAGGGTCTCACTACTATATTGGACTCTCAGTGATCTGCCTGTTTACAGCCTCCCAAGAGCTGGAATTACAGGCATGTGCCACCACGCCCAGTCTCAATTTTCATCTCAGTGCACCCCAGGAGCAGGGTCGGCACTGCAGGCCCAAGGATTGAACTCCCAACTCCTGTGCTTGCTTGTAGAATTTTGATTTTTTTCTAATGTCTAGCAATGTTTAATATTTTTTGATTTATTTATTGTCCATTTGTACTTGTCTTTGTGAGAAGTGTCTTTTTTTTTTCCCACAATAAAATTGTTCTTTATTCATACTTTTGCAAAGTTAGTAACACATGATACAAGGTTGCCTAAGGACTAGTAGCTAATTGGACAAGATGTTTGTCTCAGGACTGAAGTAGCTTGTTTGCTTTAAGTACTGAGGCCTAGTCCCACCTACACACATTTGATCAATTTCCTAGCAAACTTTAGTTGTTTAGCATCCAGAAGAGAAGCTTAATAATATTACCTTGCAACAGAGGCACTTAAGCATAATATCACTATCTGTCTGAATATCAAACACCTTAGACATAAAATGGCACTGCTATTTTCCAACAATTATGTATATTCTAAAACTTAAATCCCGAGCGAACGAACAGAAGTGTGGGTGACTGTCAGAGACTTCGCCGCCAAGCTGGGAACCTGGGAGATGGCCGAGACCGACCCCAAGACCATGCAGGACCTCACCTCGGTGGTGCAGACCCTCTTGCAGCAGATGCAGGATAAATTTCAGACGATGTCTGACCAGATCATTGGAAGAATCGATGACATGAGTAGTCGCATTGACGATCTGGAGAAAAACATTGCAGACCTCATGACGCAGGCTGGGGTCGAGGAACTGGAAGGTGAAAACAAGATACCTGCCACACAGAAAAGTTGAAGGTTGCGGATAAATTGCACTGAAATCTGGAACACCATTTTCCAAGCCACGAGAAGACCAAATGGCTTTCTGCAACCTACCACTATGTGTAGACAGGTTTTATATTGTAAAGCGTGCATTCTTACCACGTCCTATAGAGTTAGTTTCTAGAGTGATTTCCCCCCAGTTTCTCAAACATGGTATCTTCCCGTCTTGGAACTTGGTTGTGCTCGTTATTAAACACTAAAACTTTGGCAGTTCCCATATAAAATTGTCAGATTTTTTAGTGTATTTTTGTGAAGTCATTTTTTCTGCCATCCCTTTTGTAGTAGTTGCTGTTTCGTACAAGTTGCTGTGTAATTTTTTATTAGATAAGCAGTAAGCCGTTCAGTTACTATTAGAGCTGGTGCAGTAAGATATTTGTGGTTTGAGGTTCTTTGATTTTTAGCACTAAGCGACTGTTGAACTAACTAGTGTATTTGCAATGCTGTACTTTTCAAATGGCTAAAATATTTACAAGTTGTTTATTCGATAATATCTCTTGTTACTGTGGCCAGCACTCAGAATGGAACCACAGCTTAGCATTTAAGCGTGTGAGATCAGATGCTGAAGTCGGTGAAAAGTAACCACTGCCACTTTCCTGTTAGCATTTTTTAAACACTGAAAGTAACTAAACAGCCTGATGTAAAGAGGCTTTCGTTCCTTCGTTCATTAGGAGTTTTGCATGATGAGATTTTAATACTTCAGTAGGACCTTACCTTGCTCATCTACAATGGTCACCATAAAAACCTGGCAGGATTTTGAAACTGCTCCATCCTTTCTTTGAGCTGCTGATCGGAAAAGAGCGCAGAAAGCGAGCCTGGCCCTGTGCCAGTCGTTGGCTAGCGTATAATGAATGACTGGTAGCAGGCTCAAGATATAAAAAAATTGTGACTCTTCTCAATTGTTGCAGAATAACAATCATATCAGGGACCATAGAGGACAAGGGCGTCTTGCCATTCAGAATGCAGTGTCGGGACTGCTGAGCCAAAGCCAGCGCCTGTAACCTGGGAGGTGGCCGGCGTGGTTGCCGCAGAGCGGTTTCACACACCAGAAATGGGAGCGATTGAGCAGCAAGGGCTGGTGCGGCCCTTCCTACAGGGAACCCTTCATTAATCTGTTGCCCGTATCGCAGGCTTCTTTATATTGCAAATTTAATAGTAAATATTTTTCCTATGTATACATTATATGAGGAACACAACAGAGGCTGATTTTTGGGTAATAAAGCTACCACGACTCAACGACCGTCCTCTGGCTGCACTGCAGTCGGGCAGGTGAGCGAGACCGCGAGCTCGGCCCGCAGTGTCCGTGCCACCCGAGCCAGGCCTGCAGAGGCCTGTGTGCAGGACACCTTCAAGCCCCAGGAATGGCAAGTGGAAGTGTTAGGCTGCTCAAGGATGGAGGGATAGTGGAGACTTGGGAGATGGCGTCCCTAGTGACAGGCTTAGGAGTGCTGCCCTCCCACACACCCCACCCCACCAGAAACATCTGCCATAAATAAAGGTGCCTGAAATCCTGAAAAAAAAAAAAATAAATAAATAAAAATAAATAAATAAAACTTAAATCCCTATAGAATGTTAAAAAAGAATTACATGTTTTTACTCAGAAATTTAGGAATCAAACTATGTACAACATTGTAGCAGGACAATCCTTTTTTAATTAACTTTATTGACAAAGAAGTAGCAATGAGACAATTTCAAAACAGGTTAGTAGGAGAGTTACAATACTTAATATATTGCATATTGTCTTTGTAATAGTTATTTATAGTACAAAATGCATACATGATATCTTGTCTAAACACTATTAGTTCAAAACTTTCTTCTCATTGAACTAAGAGAAAGTAGCTTCATATCTATGCTATTTTGTATATACCAATATATATACTTTTTAATCTTTGCTTAATAAATACAATTTTATTTTGCACATTTAAAGTTTCTAATATACACTTATAGCTTTTTAAATAACTACTTTCAAGTAGCATATTTCCTCATGTAGTGAATGAAACATAATAATTTAGTCATTTCCTCCCACTCCATCTGTATTTTATTGTTGTCATATATTTTGTCTTCCTATAGTGTGGATGTGGTTTATTTTATACAGATATATATATATTTTTTCCTTACTACACTACAAAATGGTCCTTCATTTATATCCCCTTTTTTTGTTTACTTTTGTCAGAGATAGGTATTCCATTGCCTTTCATACATTGTAGGTATATGAATTCAGCAAAGTGATCGATGATGTAGAGTGTGCCTAATGAGAGTCATATGGAGAGAAAAAATTCTCTCAGGCTTTCACAGAGAGCAAATTGGTCAAGCAATGGCCATGACTCATTCACATGACTGAAACTGACAAAAGATCTGCAAACTGTTGTACAGGGTTTTAGGGTAAATCCTGAGAGGATTTGACTGACCTTGTCAGATATGAAAGTTACATTTTTATTATATAGGTCTTGCTTTATCTTGGTCTTAACTATTCAGCAGAAAAATATAAAAATGAGGTATAAAAAGTAAAGCCATATTCATATGTTAAGCTGTAAAAGGTTCATGTCATCAACTTCTGAAATTGCCCAGTCATGAAGATAACCCACTACTATATTGGACTCCTGGACTCCTGGACTATATTGGATTACATAGCAGGACAATCCTTTTTTTTTTTTTTTAAACTTATTTATTTATTTATTTTGTGTGTGTGTGGCCAGCTCAGCCCACCAGAGGGTGGGGCTGGCTGGCATGTGGTGCTGGGGATTGAACCACGGTCCCTGTGCTTTATGCTTAGCTTAGCTTGTTCTAAGTAGGTGCTTTAGACCACTGAGCCATCTTACCAGCTCAAGCAGGACAATCCTATGACATTTTTTTTTTCTTGTCTCTTGTTTGAGAACTGTCTATTTCAGTTATCCACTTTTGATTGGCTCTTTACATTGAGGGCTCTATTTTTTAAGGTCTTTATACTTTATAGACAGTAGGCCTCTGCCTGAAGAATAGATAACACAAAATTTTCCCCATTATGTATGTTGCTTCTACATTCAGTTGTGTCTTAGTTACCTCATACAGGGTCTGAGTTTCTCAGAACTGAACTTCTGGCCATAATCTTCACTAAATCCCTTGTTAAAATTTCTCATCATAACTTCGTGTGTGTGTGTGTGTGTGTGTGTGTGTGTGTGTGTGTGCAGGGTCTCACTATGTAGATTGTAGCAATCCTCCTGGTTTCTGCCTCCCCATGGCTGGGATTACAGGCACGGGCCACCGCGCCCGGACTCCATCGCCGGCTCAGCGCCCCCGAGGGCAGGGCCGGCGTGGTAACCCGTGCCAGGGATCAAACCCTGGCCTCTGCGCTTCCTTGAGCAAGTGCTTAGTCTGCTGAGCTATACCGCCGGCCCTCATCAAAGAAGTGGACTTGCTCTGACTCCTTCCCATGATCCTGCCACCCACAAAGAAATACAACAGAAAAAGCCATCAAATGCTTCATCTTTTCACATGCCAGTCTCAAGACCAGAAGATCCTTCTTCCATGGACAGGCCAGTGATCCTGGGTATCACCACAATGTTTCTCTAAGCCCTACAAGAATGGCCTGGGATCACTTCTGTTCTGTGTACCCAAACTGGAGTTTGTAGAGTGTTATCCATCTCATTCACACACTTTCACTCACACACACACATTCCACAAGACTCCTACCTGCCAACAGCAGTCTAAGATGTTCCAGTTCCACTGCATTCCATAAGCAGTGACTCAGGAGTAAAAGAGGGGGAATCATTCCCCTCTGGAGAACATTTCATGATTCTCTCTCCAAATGGACCCTTTTCAGATCTCCTTCTAAATCATGGCCCCTACCCTTACAATAATTCAGATGTCTGCCAAATGCTATGTGGTTCTCTCTGTGTAAACCCTTCTTGGCCCACCAGTCAGGACTCTCAGCTGGCTGTGTGTGGAGGCCTCCAACAGGGAAAGAATTGTTTTTCCATCATGAACTCAGCAGGGGATCTCAGTCTGGCTGGGCGAGCTCTCCATGTCTTCCATGAAGGAGCTTATCTGACAAAGACAGTTGCATTGGAGTTTAACTATTCCCAGCCAGGGGAACAAATGAATGAAGAGATAAAAGGAATGTAAAAAAAAATCTATGCATGAACAAAGCTATTCATACATACAGTAGGAAAAAAGGAGGTCTTTATTTGCCCAAGTCTCCTCAAGGAACTTGCATCTCCTGGAGAGGCCTGAGCAAGGTTTTGCCTTTCCTTTTATATTATTTCTACAGGAAAATGTCTCAGTGCTGAGCAATGTCAAGCAAAAAAATTATAGGAGCAAAAGCTGAAAATTGGTTAGGGTGAGCAGAAAGCTCTGGTAAGACTTTCCAGGGCCATTATGCTTAACCCACCATTTCTCAATTTCACTGTAAGAATTTGTTTCCTCTCTCAGTGGTTATAATTGCTGTGGCATCTCTAATTTTTTTTGTTTTTATTTGTTTTGTTTTGTTATTTATTTTTTTGAGAAATAAATATGGATGAGATAGTTTCACAGCTGATTAATAGGACAGTTTTGATAATCAATACATTGTACATTGTTATCTTCATAGTGGTTATCCATAGTACAAGAAGTAGACAGGATATCCTGTCCAAACGACATCTCTATTTGGCCTGCTTTGCTCCCTCCTTGAAGCTTTCCTTAGACAGTCTGCATTCCTGGCTTCTTTATACCTCTTTGGTCTCAACTGCACCTTTGACTTCACACTCATAGCTTCACACACCGCATTGTCAGACACACTGCCCCGCCTCCTAGACCTTCTGAAATATGGTTGGATGTCTTCCTAACACCAAAACTCTTCTATTCTACATGCACATCAAACCATTGTCATGCAGATGATGCCATGATCTGCTGCCAGCTGATGCATTAGCCAGGTTTCCCTCTCTCTTGGCTGTATGGGTTGAATGACTGGATCACTGTCTGTATCTAACTCTGAACAAATTCTCTAGGCTGCTGCCATTCTGGAACATGGTGCTCTTGGGCTCTCTTCTTAAAGAAAAGTCTTTCTGCTTTAGCAATCTTGAGGTTTCTGCCACCCTTAATCTTACTTTCAGGCAATACCTCAGCATAAGCAATATGCATACCAACTTTCTTTCTTTTTTTGTATGTTGAAAATGTAATTTTAATAGACAATTCTTCATCTTACATAGGAGCACAATAAAATACACCACATTCTGAAGAAATGCCAGACATCATGAGAATTCAACTGAGGAAAATGCAGATGGGCAACAATAT